AAATGAAGGATTTTAGAAATACACTAAAGAAAGATTATACAAATAGATTGAAATGAATATGGTGAAAAAAAAAATTACAAATCGGCTCATTGGTCGGCAGTAGTGAAACTACTGTAGTCGCTGCTTTTTTTGTTGTTGGTAGTTTGTAGTATAGTGAGTAGTACGATACAAAAAACAGTAGCTTGAAACGATTCCTGGGAACTACTTTCAACGTTAATTGAGAAAATAAACACGGTTCTAACGCATTTAATTTTTTGAATTTGATGGGTACAGAAACCAGGGGTCTGTCCAGACATTTTATGAACGGTCCGTTTTTCGTGAAATTGTGAAAAAACTACTCACATTCTTTCAACCAGGGTCCGCTTTTATGAATTTGTGCAAATAGGGTCCGTTATTGCAAAAAAAAAAACTTTTTCAAGGAGTTTTTAAATTGTATAGACATACAAGATTATGCTCAACACTGTAAAATTATAATTAAAAAAATTAAATTTTAAAAAATAAACAACAATTGCTGCTTCTAAATTAGAGATGCAACATACAAATATTTGGTATTTAGCCTATACTGCTGAACGCAGAATATTAATTTCGGACGAATAATGGAAGAATCGTCTGCCGAAGACAAAACTTAATTCGTTTACATCCATCTTTCTTGTTTTCTGCCCTGGAAAGGGTTTATTCGATTAACAAAATAATAATGAAGATAAACAAATTTGTGAAGGGTCCGATTAAAAGAAAAATCATTTTGTGAAGGGTCCGTTTTTAAGTTAAAATATTTTGTGAAGGGTCCGTTTTTATGAAAAGATATTTTGTGAAGATTCCGTTAACGGACCCAAATTTCTTCTAAACAGACCCCTGGAAACATTTGTATAAAATTGAAAAGACTAAAGGCAAAGCGATTGAAAATAAAGAACTAAGAATTTAAAAAATGAAAAAATACAAACAATATTTCTATATAGCCTTAGAAGAATTTGAAAAATATGATCGCGCTTGGATAACACCTCCTTTAGAACTTATACAAATCAATCTATCTAAAAAAAAGTTGAAAGAAGTAGCCTTAACAGTAGCAGCTCTTCCTACTAAGATTCATGCGGAAAGTCTGTTCTCATCTCTGGAATTTACCAAATTGAATTTACGATCCTATATCAAAGATTTGTCCATAGCAAGGGACTTAGGGAACTGTCAGAACTGTCAACGCTCGCGAAATTGCGCAAACCCTTTGGCGCCATCAAAATGAAAAGCAATTTCCAAAATAAACATTCTAAACACATAAAATTCATCAAATAATAATAACAAAATATTTAAGAGTAAAAAAACGTAATAAAAAAGTTTATTGAAAGTAACTCTCTTTTTTTCTGTTGATAATTTACGCATTGAACTAAATGAATTGAAAATATGCCACTGCCCTCTCTTCGGTGCTAGGCAAATCCCTAATTCGAATCAATTTGCAGTGGAGTAAAGTTTAAAAAAAAAAAAAAATAGTGCGCGGAGGCCCTCCGCGCGTAAGAAGTTAAACTTCGCAATCTGCGACGTTAAATGTAGAAGTATCAGCAGTCGTAGAAGGATCACTAGTTCTATTCAACGACTCTTTTTCCTGCTCCCTATTAAATTATATGTGTATGAAAACAAACTAAAAAAAATATTTGTAGAAGGACAAAATTTTTATGACTTTTATTATTTTTATGCTAGTGAGAACCAAAACAATATGAAAATGAATGAGGGAAAACTGGATCCTACCACGTGATTTCCCGGCCAATAAAAATGTAGTGTTAAACGTTTAACGCTTCCTTGTTGGAAGTCGCATAAGAAGTATAACTTCAAAAAAAAAAAAAAAACAGTATATTTCAAGACGCTAACGAAAGCAAACGCGCGTAGCCAAGGATTTACTCAGTAAATCGTGATAAAATTTGCGGTTATTGGCGCAGAAGCTACCTTTTGGCAATAATATTGTGTTTGGCGATATTAATCGATAGGAAAATCCCAATTAATATGGAAATGGCCAACTCAAAGTACAGAAACTAGTAATGTCTATTTTATCATTTTAAAATAAATGCTAATTAATATAAACGATCAGCTATGCCATCATCTTTTTTCTGTACAGCATCTATTACTTCTTTTATATTTAAAAAAAAAAATAATAAGCTGCATCACATATGTATAGGCATCACATATACATGTAAGCTGCATCACATATGTTTAAGTCTAAAATTCAAGAGCCTGAGTCGGTCATTTTCTCTACCGAATTTCCTTACAAATTATGTACAAGCAACAATCAATTCTAAAAAGAAAGTAATAAAATAAAAATTAACGTTATAGCACAATTTCAATAATTCGATACTATAATTTTAAGAAAACAGTACTAATTAAAAAAAAATTATTTAGTATTCTTATAACAAATTTTATCATAACCAATTAAAATCAAAACTGAAATTTTAGCTGTTTACCATTAAAAAAAATCTTGTTATTTTTTATTTTAAAAGATAATGGCATAGTGAAATTATTTTTTTAAATTACTATGAAATACTTCTTTATAACCAGGAGGCTTCTTCAGGCTTTTTTTTAGCAAATGAATTTAAGCAGTAAAAAGCTATTTCAACGTATGTCAATATAAAAATTAATATTTAATATTTGACCTTAAACAATACATGCAATGTGCTTTTATTAACTATTACAGTAGGGAACCGATTATCCGGAAGGGTCGGGACCATCGCTGATAACTGATTTTTCCGGTTTTCTGAATCGCTACAAAAAGCCGTTTTTTTATTGATAAACTCAACAACAACAAAAAAAAAAAAATTGGATATAATCTTCAAAATAAGAAAAAACGATGAAGAAATACACTAATGATTATTTCCAAAATGATGGTAAGGTAAACATCTTTAAAAAAGGAAAGAAAAATCGTAAAATCATATGCGGAAAAAAAAAATTTTTTTTTAAAAATGGCGAGAAAATTTATCGAATTTCGTTCCGGTTTTTTGGTTTTCCGGTTTTCTGATTTCCGGATAACGGGTTCTGCACTGTAATAATATTTACAACAGTTACATAAATGGAATTTGATAACTTTGAGGAGCAGTGCTGTGGCACAGAGGTGGTTTTAACCAGGTACAGCAGGTGGGAAAAGCTTTCCTAGATAAAATATGTTTCTACAAACTCAAATTGAAGAAATTTGTTTTAAAATAGAAATACCAAACGTTAAAATAATTGTTTTTAAAAGAGTGTATAATTACAATATATTTTCTATGATAATATTAGTTTTCACAAGTTAAGAATACATTATCTTTAACTAAGCCAAAGTAGAAAAGCAACAATTGGGAGAAAAAAATTTAATGAAATTCTTTTAAGAAATTAGAAACTTAAATTTCCTTCAATGTTTTAGTTAAAGGAGCATAGTAGAACTCAATTTTATAATTATGGAAAGAACTGTTAAAATATAATAAAATTTTTTTATAAACACAATTAAATGAAAGAAACAAACCGAATGACTCAATTCTACAATTGCAAATAGCATGCAACTTTTAATAGTTAAATACTGATAAAAATGAATACTCAAAGTATATGACTCAAGCATATGACAATGTGTTAGAATAGATTTTAAAATTCTGCATGATACTAAAATAGATAATATGAATATAATTTTTTTTTAATGTATAGGTAAAAAAATCCTTTAACTTTCTTGTTTTAAATTTAATTTTATCAACATAAATTTAAGCTCTTTTATAATATTTGTTGGTAAACAATATTAGTGATCAACATAAAATTTTTCTTATCCCCATCCAGTTCCTTCGATTTTTCCTTGTGTCCTGGATAAAATCCCCATCCTGGTTTTAACCACAGTTAAACCATTCAAAAACTGGTACAAACAAAAACTTGTATATCTTGTGATGGGTAATAAACCATGGGATAAGATTTCTAAATAAAACTGAGTATAATATGCTCAGTAACATTTCTGAAAATTTGAAGGGAAAAAAATTATATTTACAGAGAAATGAAAAATATTTTAATAAAATACATTTTTCTTATTTAATCTATCTACTTTATTAACTTAGTAAAACAAATTATTGTCAAAACCTTGAAAACTGTACTTACTTATAGACAAATATTTTTATTCATATCTTAAATAGTATAATTTCAAGTACTGTTAAAAGATAAATATTAAATGGTATTTTTCTCATACAACTCATACTTTTTCTTTTGATAAATGTTGAAAATAAAATGCATTCAGAAAAACAATCACATAAATCTATTTTAAATATAGACCAATATTCCTAACAAACGATCTATTGGAAGCTTTAGTGCTGTTAAGTTGCTTTCAAGAAGGCCTGCCAACTACTTTTCTTTTTTTTTCAAAATATTTTATAGAGTGATAGACGTTTAAAAACCAAAGTTTTCTGAATTTTCGGTAATTTTGTCAACATTTTAAAAAACTCACCACAAAAGAAATATAAGAAAGTGGCGTTGCGCTTTTAAATCATGTATATGTAGTGGTGTGGAAAATATTTTACATGACTAAAAATTAACACATTAAAGCATAACCTTAGCTACCACTAGAATACATTTTTACAGAAAGCGTAGAAAGTTGGCAGCCCTGCCTAAAAATAGAAAAAATTTTTAATCATTCGATTGCACTATTCTCTTAAATAAAATGACAAGTTAAAAAAAAAAAACTTTAGTAAGTATAAGCGTTAAATTACGAAAAATGCTTATTCTTTTTTTCTTTAGACAATTATGTTTATAAATTACTGTCAAAATTTGGATTTTAAGCAGTTATAAGACATCAATATAACAATACGAATAAAGTTTTATAAAATAAGAGCGTATTAAATTTATTGGGGGAAAAAAATACAGAAAGAAATAATGATATGAAATCAGGTACTTCAAATCGATCAGAAAACTCAAAATTTAAACAAGATAAAAATAAATCAATACATCAAGTAGATAACATAATTTTAACAAATACAAAATACTTTAACGAGCACATACAATACATTTTAAGCCATGCTTACCTTCCAAAAAACCATAGCTTGATCATATTAAGTTTCCTTCGCTTAATCCAAAAACTTATTCGAAATAGATTCTCATTTTTTAATCCAGTGCATTATGATAAGGAGTGAAAAAGTTTGTAGAAATTTAAATAAAAATAGAGCATGTCACACATCGGAAACAAAATTTCATTCTTTCGATTGCAAAACGAAAAACACAACTGCCGGTTTTCGTTAGATACATAAGCAAAACAGTACACTATCCTGTTGTCAAGCAAATAGGCCCTCTAGCGGAAGTTTACTAATCTCGAAAATAGATCGCTCCTAGAATGAGGCTTGTTTTATAGCTTTATAGTGTCAATGGCAAATATTTAGGCTGTTTCGTGTTTCGTTATCGTGTTGTTATTATCATGATTTTAATTTATTACACGGCTGCCGTTTGATTTCTTGGACGTATTTAGAATATATGTTTCCTACTCTTTTATTAAAAAAAGGCTATCATGTTTATATAACAATTTTGATTATTGAAAAAAGAACAGAAGAAAAGAAAGATAAAAATTTGATATTGATTTATCTGATTTTTTCTTGATTTTTTAATACACTATTTTGGAGATTTCAGTTCACTATATGGCCCATTTAATTCATTTGGAGATTATATTCACTTATTCATTACATATATAAAGCACAATAAAAAGAATAAAGAGACATTATTTTGATGTTTTATTTATTAATAATTTTTCTTCTTCTGTTTAAAAATATTTTTTTTGTTTTCTTTATATTGTTATTATATTTATAATTCATAGTGCATTATTGATAAAAAAAAGGGGGGGGGGGGGGGANAATAAAGGAAATTTTGAGAGCGGATTTATATAGATATATATTTTCAATATTAATACTTTTTTTTAAAAAACTAGTAGTAATTTTTATTATTACTTTCTTTTTTTTACTATACGGTTGTCTTTCATTTTCTAAGGTATGTTTAGATTGATTCTAGTTTGTATTGTTAAGTTTGTATACAAGTATGCTCCTCATTTATATTCCTAAGCTTGTATACAAGTATGCTTCAAGTTTATATTCTTAAAAAAAATTATAATTATATTTTACATATAATATTACATTATTAAGAGGGATGTAACGAACAGTGATTTAGCCGAATAGCTAAATACCAAATGTTAACAGAGAAAAAAAAGAATACCAAATATTGGATAGACAAACAACAACATTTTTTTAAATCATCAATAAATATTAAGTTTTATGTATAAATAAGTTTAGTCATTATTAAAAAACAATCAAATCTTAGCCATATTGTTGGAATGGGATACAGAGAAAAAACTATAATAGAAATATTAAGACAATAAAGATAATTAAATATTAAGAAATATTTGAGATAAATAAAAAAAATGACTAGCAGTTACTGAAAAAAAAAACATAGTTAAGCTGGAAAAAAAGAGAATTAGAAAAAAATATCCTTTTAATTCTTAAAACAATATTTTAATGCAAAAAATAATATTTTCTGGAAAAAAGAAGTATCCATAAAACGTTTAAAGAGATATAGTTTATCAGAAAGACTTTTAAAAATGCCGCACTATTATGAAAATGTCTACAAAAAACGATACATAGAAAAGTAAAATAAAAAAAAAATAAAAAACGATCCTAATTTTTTAAAGAAAAATTTAAAGCTAAGTGTCAGTTTTCCATTCACATTTATTTTCAAGAAAAAGTTAAGAAAAATGAATAAAGCTCATTAGAAACGCTCCGTTAAATTGCTGTGATATAATAAAAACAGAGACAGCAAAAACGAAGCAAAAAATAACAAAAAAGTTCATGACAAAAAAATTCTTAAAACAAAAAGTGTTGAAAAAACGACGAAATTGGCTTGCCTAAATGTAATAATAATAATAATTATAAATCCGCCGTACAAAGCTTATGGTTCAGCATAAAGTAATTTAGTTTCGATTTTTCAAATTGCACTTTTCCATTTGTCTTTCAGAACAAAAAATAGCAAGTTTGAGAGCTTAAATATGAGTAAAAACTATTTTTAAAAATGAATAGTAAAAAAATACGATTTTAGATTCCTCTTCTCTAAATCTACTCTAATTCTTAAAAGAAAGAAAAATTGTCGCAAAATACATTTTCAAAAAATACTTTCCAAATATTTGGCCAAACATTCGGCGAACCGAATATTCGGCAGAAGGGCCGAATATGCCGAATACCGAATAGTTACCGAATAATACCGAATTCGTTACATTCCTAATTATTACTACTTTAAAAAGAACGGAGGAAAATAATAAATGATAATTTTAAAGCACATTTATGTTTTTTTTTTCTTCCGATTTTAATTCATTAGTTTTAAACCCTCCAAGCGTTGAGCCTTAGGGTAACTTTGAATTGAATACGAGTCTTTGATGCAAGAAAATTTGCAGCTAAAATTCGGAAAAAGCCGGGATTAACGTTCAGAGGGTTACAACACAATATTTAAGAGTTTTTAAATTTATTTTTAGCATACGGTTGCCGCATGAGTTCCAGAGCGTGTTCGGAATCCATATATATGGGCAGATCTCTAAAACCTTTAACTTTTGATAATAAAAAAAAAAAATAATAATAAATAATCGGCACACTATTTTTACACCTCCAGAATTGTTTGAAAATGTATTAAATATCAGAAAATAATCGTGAACATCGAAAATTTTGATGCCCTTATAAGTATAAACAAAAAATTAAAATTTTTGAACTAATCTTTCTAGGTTTATAATCACAAACTGTCATTCGGTGAGGTTACAGTTACGATGTCAAGACCGTAATCAGACGCAGATCTAAAAAGTAAATGTTAAAATCAATCAAAATTTTGATCAC